GGAGGGAATGCTGTGATTTCGTAGAAGAAGAGTGGGCGACAAGCTGAGCGCGAACTGTGGACGAGTTATGGTGATTTCCCGAGGAGCAAGTGGGCGACAACAGTGGAGGCGCTGTGCGAAGAATCTGTGATTCGGCCGCGAGTAGGAATGGTGATTGTGATTACATCACGGCCCTATAAGCTCGACATCGCTATTGCAGGTTGAAGACCACATAAGCATTCCGCTGAGAAGTGCCCTGAATGGGGTCAAGAATGTTTAGGCGAAAATATGCAGGTGATTAAGAGTTGGGAGCGGTACCTGGTGTGAAGATGATGCTCGGCGGAGGGATGCAATGTAAAAGCTAATGCCTGCGAGTGATTGCTATAGAGACGCAGAGCATGTAGGGAACTGTCGAGTAGAACGCTATGAGAGTGAGTTTGGAAAGTCATGACAAGACGACGGTGTAGATAGCCCTGAAAAGGCATGCTCGTGACACCAACACTGAGAGGTGTGTTAATGACAAGGTGCTTACTGCGAACCTATATAAACATAGTATTCAGGGTGAATTCCTTGATAAGGTCGGACGGCAGTAAGCAGCACAGGTCCATAGGAAGAGCATAAGAGAGAGTGTAGTGTGAAAGGTCATCCTGTAACGAATTAATTTGGCCTTTGGAAGGTAATTGTGATGTATTATGAAACACCTGAAAACAGAAAACATTTGGAAAATTTCAACACGTTTCTCCTTCCATGCGAAACATTTATCCATCCAGACCAATATTCAATAGAATACGAAATTACTGATGTTAACTTATTAAATCCGATTAATCATACGTATTCGAATAGATCAATACTCGTTTACGTTGAGTAGCCAGTGAGAGGCTAGGCAGTCAGTGCTGTAATTAAGCGCGGTCATGCCGCAGGCGGCCCTAGGATACTACCGGGGTGGTGGCATACAGTATCTACAGTATCTTACGCGTAATGCTACTCCCAGCTTAAAGGTGCTCACCAAATGAAACAAGAAAACAATTAATAGAATTCATAAAATCAGCAGACGGGTTATTGTGCACCAACCATGGTGACTGCCCAATGTTGGTTCGCTCACTTTGCAGGAGACACGACCTCTAGAGATCATTCCCTCCCCCCCCCCCAATCTCATTTGTGGGCATAACTTCCCTTGTTCCAAGAGTATGGTCTTCCGGAAACCACGGGAGGTTGTCTACTGTCGCGACCCATATGAGTAGAGTCTATAACCGTCCGAATCAGGGCACGCCCATCTTTGTGATCACACACAACAGGGGGTCGTATTTGCCTGCGATGAAGGGAGGGGGTCGTAACGCATGGCCCACTTGCGAAGTGGAGAGAAGCAGTGATACACGGCACAAAGTGAAAAGAAGCTTGACAAGGGGCGGATGAAAAATGACAATAAAGAGAACAAACACTAGTGAACTAACTATTCCTACGCCAAGGAGTCGAAAAAAATTTTCGCTGAAATTTTGTAATAGATGGTATCAGATGTCCTGATCACGAGTATGACCATGTCTCCACACCTCCTGTGGCGCTCTGCTGAGGCTGAAACTGGAAAACGAATGATTTCTCTAAGGCCAGGCTCAACGTCTCGGACAAAGCGCTGATGACATACGTCGACGCTGGCGCCGAAAATTGAATGTCATATTTGAAAACAGGATGTCAAATAACCCGCTGAACACAAGTTTTTCATCGATTTTGGTGGTTTAAGGTATATAGGCGGCGGCGCCGCGGCGCGCAAAAACCCCAAATCACGTAAATTGATTCGAAGCGGATATGATGTTCGTGTTCAGTGGGTCGAAGTACCACTGTGTGCAAATTTTCAGACAAATCTGGCCTTCTAGAAAAAAAAAAACCAAATAAAAGAGCGGCCTGATTTCGACAGACTGAGTGGGAATAGTTCAGTAGTTAGGCGAAAACTGGATCACAAACTAGAAAATACCAAAACTAAAAACGAAAATCTGAAAAGCATTAAAAACAAACAAAAACAAACGAAATGAAAAAATCTCACGTAACTTTAAATTCCAGTTGTTCGCGGTCAGCGCGCGCCGACGCGAGTAGTGCTAATTCCACGCTAATAAATACAAGCTCATTAGTGCGGCGCTATTTTTTGGACGCTCAAGCCAATTTCAAGCCAAACGCTCGAAAACGCTGGAAAAGTACCCCTCATTTGAACGCTCATAACTTTGTTGAAAGTGAAGCTATCGGAGAGGGGAAGGTAGGAATGAGTAGGAAGAGGTTGGCTCTTGTCACCTGAATTAAGCGATTTTGAAAACGTTCCGATTCTAAGAGATTCTCCCCGCTGTGATCCCGTGTGTAATCTCTGACGGACCATTTTTTTTGGACCGCGAGTCGCCGACGATTGCGGACGTCCATGGCAAGCTTCATACACGCCTTTTATAAAAGAGGAGGATAGCATCGGAAACCTGAAAGATTTCTACTTTCCCAGGAGACTTTAATTTTCTTCTGCACTAGGCCTGCTATTCGAAAATTTCCGCGTTCATTTTGTTGACCGCTCCTCCACGACACGAAAAATCAGCATCTCCGAGGCCAGTGTAACCTCAGTGGGTTTTAAGGCGTTGGTATGCTTCCTGAAGCACATGTTTCCGCGAAAGGGTATTAGGAAGTAGTCCATTGGACGCCAATTGGCATCACCACTGAATGCGATGGCTGGGCTTTCACGCAGGTTTTGGAAAAGTGTAACTTCTAGATAGGGCTTCCCAAGTGCAAGCATATGTTGCTCCTACGATCAGTAAAGTCCGGGAATGTACTTTCATCTGTGTATTAATCGTCACGTCACGAGTCCTTTTGTTTGTTTATAAATTCATGGTGCCCTTGTGGGCGGTGACCGTAGCTCCTATCATCGCCCCTTCCTCGTATGTACTGTCGTAATGCTACACCAGTGCCAAAGTGCTGGACGCTTGGGACGTACGTAGGTACTGCAACGCCTCCCCCCCCCTCCCCCCGCTCGACAGCAAAATTTTGTAAAATAAATCAGAAATTTCTCGGGAACAAATGGACAAAGTGGTAGGAGGTTGGGAAATCGAGGAAAGTGGTAGGTAGCATGGAGAGGGGGTGTGGTCGTACTTGAGGATGGAAATTAGGGGGGGGGGGCGTATTTTCAGGAAATGATCACAACGCAATGGCGTGCCCTGCGTCGAATGTTCTGTTCCTGGCATCCGTTCGCTTGGACCACTATCTACCAAATGTTCCTCGCAGCAAGAAGCGATCACTGCTGTTTGGTGTAGCGGCGGGCATCAATTCCAAATCGTATTCGTTTTTGCTGACCGTCTCTCATGAGTATTTCTGCTCTCTTTACTCGCTTCTTTCCATAAGGAGCGCATACACTCTAAAGTAGCCTATTTCACAAGACAAGACGGGTTTATTTGACTGACGACGTAATTGTACTAGTGCAATAGTTCGTCGGATAGTGTTTCTTCTTTTCTTTGTACAGATGCATTACAGTGCTTTTTTGGCTGCATTACAGTGCCTTTTTCTGCCACTGCCGTTTTGTGTTACGAGTTCCGTTGTCAAATCGTGTTTTCCACGCTTGTTTTTACTGTTATGCAGTACCTGGCACTAGCTGAACCGACGAAGCGATTAACGAGCCTCGTGCGGGAGGTTATCGTTTTGTTGCCATGAAACGAGAGATCCGGGGAGCCCGTACAGTGAAGCTACCAGGGAGATCCTCCTTCTCACTTCAGTTCTTAGGGAGTGTTTGAATAGTTTCTTTTGCTTGTTTCTTCTCAGGAAAACAGTACAAGTTTGAGCGGCTATTAGTTCGTTAATGAACGCCGCTACCCACAATGTTCAATTGCGGGAATTGTCTTTAAGACATGGGGGCCAAGCCAAGCCAAGCAGAGCTATCTGAGGTGACTACTGTACCCCTTCGAAGAAGCACTCTGACGCCGAATAGTGAGAAAGGTGCAGTGCTGTCCTACCGTGTTTTGATCTGTGACGCGCCGAAGGCCAGAAAGGCGTTTGCTACAGTGTAGTCAAATGAGTGACTGCAGGCACAGAGCAGCAAGTGCAGGAACCGTGGAGATGACTAGGTCAGTGGCCAAGGAGACGAACAGCACAGGAGCAAATGAGGTGACTACCGTCGATAACGGTAAAGAGATAGCTACTATGCTGACAGAGGAGATAGGAAAGGCAATCGAGGCTATGAAAGAGATAGGCCCAAGGAAAAAGTGGTCTAGAGGGGGCTCGAGTCGCGGCGAAACACAGAGAGGTGAGATACAGATATCTGCAGCATGTTGAACACCGATGAAGTTCGAGACATGGTCGGAGAGATCCAGGAACTGCAAGATAGGCAAGCAAAGGAACTGAAAAGAATTCCAGGCGATGCGTCAGATGACGAAATGGACGGCAAGGAACCGGACAGTGGAACAATTAAGGCAACTGAACTGCGGCATGGCAATGTAGATCAAATATTGCAGGTGACAGCATGAGCTTCAGATCGGAGTAGCGTGGCAGCACAGACTGGGGAAGCCCACGAGCGGCACTTGTGGCCTCGTTTGGATCGCTGCAAGACGGCCGCGGGGCCAAAGGAAGCAGATCAGCAGTACTTGGATAATTTTCTGAAATTTTTACAAGCAAGTAACTGTGCTGACCCGGGAGTTTTCCGAGGGAAATCAGGAGAGTATTTTAAAGAATTCTTACGTAGTTTTAGGAGGAGATATATGGCTCTACGGAGAGAGGACATTACTAGAGATTCTCGGTGACCACTACCTGGAGGAGAAAGCGAAAAATGTTTTTATGACAATCCCTCAGGAAGTGATGGAAGAGGGTTTTGGGCAGTTGTAAGGTAGATGGTTAGGTTATTATGCAGTAGCTGCTAGAATGAGGGCCTTGAGCGAGCTAAGGAACTTGAAATTGAGGTCAAACCAGCTAATGTCGGAGTTTTGTGCCGTGCTGGAAAAACTTGCGCATAAATCAAACCCCGATTGTACATTTCGGAGAGATCATTAGAGTACGCGCAGATTTTACTGGACAACATGAGAGAGTGGCCAGAATATGTTCAGCTACTAAGTATGCTGCACAGATCGGACCTAAGGAAAGCGTACAGTGAGATCAAGCAATTGGCCATCACTACAGAGCAATCGAGAACAATGTATGGAACGCTGCGGAGTGGTACCTCTACAGGAACTGAGTGGAAAAAAAGAGATGCCCATATAGTGTAGTTCATTGCGGACGGTTGGGCGTGTTCCTGCGGCTGCGTTTGGCGCGGTGCCAAACTAGTTCTCCACGAGTTGTTCAAGCAAGCAAATGACAATACTGTATCATACCCTCTGTATTACTTGTTTTCTACTGCTTTTTGTCGCATGCCCGTTTCAGCAAGAAGGCAGAGAGCAGCTCAAAGAGGGTGACACACTCATACTGACTGACACGCCCAACCGTCCACAGCGAAGTAGAGTGTAGAAGCTCTGAGGAGAATGACAGAATTACATCGCTGGATAGGCGAGATGAGCTGAGCATCAGGGAAGGTCTTCAGACAAAAAGGAGAAAGATTTGGAGGCCCGGAAATGTTTCAGTTGCTTAAAAGTGGGACATATTGCCCGGATTTGCCTGTTGGGGAGACCCACAGTTAACAAAATAAAAGAGAAGAAGACAAGGGTAGATTGCATGAGTGAAATAAAAGCATATCCGATATTGTGCGACGATCCCAGTCCATGGGTATAAGGACGGAGAGATGTTCGTCCACCACAAACCTCGTAGGTGAGAAATTGTCGGTCTGTGTGAACATGCTGGACCAAAGGGTCCCAACACTAATTGATACGGGATCTATGGTAAGCATCGTCCCGCTTGGGTTGTTGGAAAGAGCACAGAGTAAAGGGTTCAACGTCGATGCTCTTGAGGAATCAGACCCAAAACGTTCGCTCCTGTTTTTGATGCATCCAACAACCAAATGAAGTTCCTAGGAGGAGCAGTCATAGTTGCATACATCGAAGGCGGCGAAGAATCGGAGGTGGCCTTATACATATCGAGAGAAAAGGGACGCGAAGTACTGCTGGGAGCGAATGCATTGAAAAGTCTGGGGATTGAAATTAAGTTACCGAAACCAGCAGGACCTTCACACCGGTTAGGCTGTGTTCATTTTATCCCTGTACCTTGCAGTAGCGTCCACCAGGGAGCATTAGCGACCACCAGCATTTCGAGCGTCCGTCAGCATCAGCGACTAGGAAAGTACTGATATAGATCTGGCGAACTGCAGCGTCTAGCAGCGTCCACCAGCATCTACCAGCGTTCAGGGGTAGAGGGTATGGGGAACTAGGAGGGTGGCAGACTGCGGAAAGAGTATGGGGAAGTAGGAGATAGCAGACAGCTGGATTAGGCGTCGTGGAATTGCCGGTGTGCAACTGCACCGCACTACTACATAATACCGTGCACTAAACTGCATACTGTGCTTTAGCATTTATACATGCGGTTGCACACGCCACAATTTCACGATTCCTTATTCAGCTAGTTGCTCCTTCTTACTTCTCCACACTCTACCAGCAGCTTGCTACCCTCCCACTTCCCCATACTCTCTGCTACTTGTCGCTGTGGTCGGATTGACGCTAGCCTTCGGTACACCGGTACGTATAATTCCTTACTCCCTCGAAACGCTGGTAGACGCACGCATTCGCTATATCGATGCCCATACTTTCCTAGTCGCTGCTAGACGCTGTTGGACGCTGAAGAACCCTGCCGCAAGGTATGAATGCAGTCTTAAGGTTACGATGCGCAAAGGTGGTTCATTACCTGAGATCACGGACAGGACCACTTCGACAGGAAGGGTGCAGTTGAGCGCCACATTTGTCTTTGAGTTGCACTTTTTTCATACCCCTTTCCTTATGCCGTACGTGAAGCCAACGAGGTCTGCAGGTAAAATTTTATTTATGGCCTAACGTTTCGACCAGATCGTCGTCCTCAGAGGCCTACACGCAGCTCAAGATTTTTGATTTGCCCTCTACACCGTCAAACGCCTCGTCGCCCTAGCATTTCCGACGGTGCTACTAGAAAGCGAAAACCTCCCGTAGGTAAAACCTACACACCAAGTCTACCACGGCATGAGCGTCTCTGTGAGTGATAAGTGGTTATGTCACAAACTCTCGATCGTTAGATCATTTAACCCCACCTGGCGGATTCGTTAGTGTATCGTCAAGCAACACACACACAGAGAGAGAATCACACTCTTAATACAGACGTCTCAATAGTGTTGGGATGCAGCAGGGACAATCTGCGGAACTCAGCGAGAAGTTTCTCAGTAGATTCAGACTTGACAGTCCGGATTGCTCTGTATTTTACAGCCTCGTTAAGACCCACAAACTTGCTCCTAGTGAGATACTGTCAACTTCACCGGAAACTTTTAAGATTCGACCTATTATCAGCTGCGTCGGTGGACCAACCGATCGAATCTCATGGTTTCTCAATTGCATTCTGAGCAAGTTGTTGACCGAAGTTTCCTCTCACCTGACCAACACGACTAAGTCGTAACAGCTACGTTGAATACACTTGGGTAGAGGAGTCACGACGTTACTTCGCTTTATACTAACGTCCAAAACGAACAAGCTCTACAGGCTTTGTCTGAAATGTTGGACAGGCATGTTGGAAGCATGGAGACTTTTGGATTAGATAAAGAGCACATCTTGACTCTAATCAAGGCATCCTTAGAATATAACATCTTCACATGGCCAGGAGCCTACTGTGCTCAAACGAGGGGTCTCGCGATGGGTCAGCGCTTAGAATCGGTGCTTGCAGTCTGCTTTATGAGCAGAATACATAGAAGAACCAGTACTGGAACGATTACCGTTAATCTACTGCAGGTACTGACTGCTTTATCGTAACATCAACATAATCCAGAATGGGTGAGTGTTATCGTTCGATGAACCAGCAGTCACAACACATTAAACTCACGCAAGAAACTCCCCGCAACGGTTGGCTGCCTTACCTAAATACGCAAGTGAAAGTTTCCGATGGCATTCTCAGGGTGAAATGGTGCAGAAGAGCAAGCTCTAAAAACATCTTCATTCATGCCAGTTCTGCACATCCATCTGCCTTGAAACATGCAGTTGTCCGAAACGAGAGTCTACACGATCGGCTGCTGATATAGCTGTTTCTTACTCCCTACTGCTCCACAAACCAACAGCAGGGTTCACTCTGAGCGCCCTAGCGTGCCACGTGATACTGGCCAAAACAAGATCCCCTTATGTATACCGTCCATATCTGATACATTGGGAGACTGGAAGGCCACTGGGAACACGTATCAAAGAACATCTTGCTGTAAAAGGCGTGGTAACTCAACAACAACATTAGGGAAGCATCTGGTCGTAGTGCACTGTGGGAGCGATTTTGATGTGAAGTGCAGGATCCTAGCGTACGAGACGGAGATTTCCGCTAGTAAAGCGCTAGAGGCATTCTGGATTTCGGCAAGGAATCCTAGAATGAACAACCAAAATGAGTTCAGCCATAATAAATGATTTCTTACCATTTTCACCACATTGCGAGCTACTAATGTAAGCGGTGAGACATGCAAGTTCTAAAAGCTACTATACGAGGACGGCATGGAGTGCCTCACTTGCTTTACTAACATCTAGTGAAAGGTTTTAGTTGTTTCTGGAAGCACCGTCAGAAACGCTAGGGCGACGAGGCGTTGGACGGTGTAGAGGGCAAATCACAAATTTTGAGCTACGTTTAAACCTTTGAAACGTTAGACCGTTAATAAAATCCACCTACAAACCTCGCTGGCTCAGCAGTAGAACATTAACCTACAGCAATGTCGAGGTTACGTGAAAAGAGTTGGAGACCTCCTTATTGTTCTTTCAGCTCTCTTTCCTAATTTTTTTCTGTAGACATGCATTGCTACCTGTCAATGTTTGGTGATCTTGTTCCAGGTACCTTTTGGAGGCCAAGGCACGGTACACTCTGAAACATTGACGTGCACGCCCGATGCAGGCTTCGAGCATATAGGCCCATGATAGAACGTTCTGAATGCGAATCCTCGATAAAGAGTTTTGTTGTACCTGTTTTTTCCACTAGCGATCAATTTGCCTTCTACAACTACATTTGCATTCATTTTCGTGATGCCCTAACGTTATATGATTCTGATCTCAACAGAGAAGGTCAAAGGTTGCTATGGCCACTATTGGCTCAGGATGTGATGCACATGTCTTGGGGCTCAAATCTGCAGAAAGAATTTGTGGAACGACTCTCCAAGAGGAGGAGGAGCTGCGGAAGAATTCTAGTATGGTACCCGCCAGTCTCCCTCTGTGCTCGTTCAAGTAATGTTTGGAAATCGACAGCGTGGCCCGTGGTGTAGTGGATAAAAAAAGTTGTTTCGTAGATGCGAGGCTAGTGTTTGAGTCCTTGCCATTATCGGTTTTGCATTTGTTCGGAACACTGAGTCCTGGAAGTACGTTAGTACTGTTACTTTGTCAAGGTTGTTCTCATCCGCATCACAGAAAGTGTTAAAGGTCAGCTTTTCTGCAGTTGTGCTTTTTTTACAAGAAATTTATTGCAAAATTAAACGGTCTCTAGATGGTACATGAAGTCAAGTTATAGCTGTTAAAGAACACTGATGTTTCTCCACGGACTGGTCGAAAAAAAACAGCTTCTCACAGTGAGCGTAACGAATGAAGGAAAATTCACCACAACCGGTGTAGTCGCTGTGTCGCATGAAGAAGGGGAGCAGAATTGAGCAGTTTTTCAAATTCACCAAGAATTGCATCAAAGTATCCCGCTGCGTACCAGGAGTAGGAACAGAAGTTCCTAAATCGATGAGAAAAAAAGTTGAAAGTAAACTAGAGGGAGAAGGTGAAGTCTCGAGTGCATAGCATCTATACATGCAGATGTGTAACTTATCATATTAGATGAATTTGACAAGCTTACGTGAACACGTTCTGTGCATCACCTCTGCACATCGTGGTGATCTTGAAACACTGCTCAATACCGGTTCCCTTCTTGATGGGACACTGTGAATACACCTGTTGTGGAGAGTTTTCTTTGTGCTCAATGAGAGAAGCTGTATTTTTTAACCATTTGTTAAAGGCACATTCCGCGATAAAATAAGGCTATGACCTCTCAAATGTGTCGGACGACCCGGAAGGCGATTTTGGGGCTGTGCTACTTTCAAAATGTGAAAAACGGCAAGAAATCCGCTAGAAGCTGACTAATTAGGCCCATGGACACCCCTTGGGCCCATGCTGACCCTCACCGGCTGCTAGCTACTAGCTAGTAACCACTATGTTATCTTTCTCTATAACAATTCGGACTGCTTTTTCTGCTGCATTTCTGCGCTAATCAGATACTTAGCACTTTTTTTGTGCCTATTTGAGTTCCATTTCCCGCAAATTGCGGTCGCGAACTGTGCCTTTAAAGGAAAACCGCATGGCTCTCAAATAGTTGCAGTCTTACTCATTCAATCACTATCTGAAATCGTTCAGTCCTCCTTCGGAAATGCTGGCCTGCTGCAGGAATGCTGGAAATGCTGCCATGCTAGAACCCCCTCCCCATCGTAGCCTCTCCTAGTCAGTCGTTCCGCAAGTTCTTTCCGCAGATTTGAGTTCAGCTTCCCGAGACCTTACTCCGATAAATACATTTTATTCCGAATGGCCAGAGCAAGCTTCCCTGATCAGAGAATATCTCATACAACTGGTCCAGTCCTCAAAAATATCCAGGACTGCCTCTAGACCGTTTCATAG